CGAGCCCAAGTAGTTTGATTATTTTATATATAAATGAGTCGCGCTTCGAGAGCTAGAACCAAACTTTTTAGGCAAAAATTATTCAAATTCGACTCATTTAAAGAATAAGCCAAGCCTGAACCAAGCCCAAAACAACGCGAGCTGAGCTCAAGTAGTTCGGCATGATTATCAACCCTAATATTATGCACTTCCCAAATGAAAAGGCTTCACACACACTAAGACAAAGGCAACTACGAGTATTTGATTCATGTGGTAACCTTATGAATTATGCCAAATTTTTCCTTGCTTAAATTCACAAGTCAATTGTTTTTAGGGAAAGTAATTCACTGTGTCAATTTATTTGGCAAAAGTATTAATACATGTTCAAGTCCAATACACATAGCAATTCAATGGCACTAAATTTTTTTGGGTCCTCCTGCAAGCGAGAGGACAGAGCAGATTGTTCCACCCAGACAAGTGGAAGTAAATGGATGCCATGCAAATGGAGTCCAGAGAGGAATGGTCAATAGTAGATGAACTTCACATGTAATGTGTCCACAAAAACCATGGTTTTTTGTCAATGTCCCCCATTTAGAAGTTTTTCCCAACTCTTCATTATTTTAAAGAAGAATGTACTTCCTTCTTTATATCCCAGGGTTATGTTTTCAGAGGCACTAGCAAAGTCAAATGAAAGTCAAGAATCCAAGGAGAACTAAAAATGGTGATAGCATGTTAAACACTACCATGCCATCTCAAAATAAGAAGCACAAAGTTGGTGAACCACCACTCAATCCCCCCCCCCCCCCAAAAAAAAAAAAAAAAAAAAAGATAATTAAATTAGAAACTGAGATTAATATGGTAATTTTATCATTGAAGCACCCGAATAAATGTAAATTAGACACTAAAGCTCCTTTTGCCTAAAGCGCGACCTAGGCACGACACTCCCGCCACTCCAGACCCCACATACGAAGAGGCTGATTTTACAACTCAAACCCTAGACACCTAAATCACAAGGGAACAACCTTACCGATGCGCTAGGGCCCACCATTTGATTACGTATGTTTATTTGAAACCACAGGCAATGTGCAAGAAACCCAATTTTACTTTTGGTAAATTTACCAAGGGCTATAGTCATAGTGATCCTCCTATTCAACTACTTCGATCATTTCCGAGCACCTCATAGTATTTTCAAGGCCTCCGAAGAGTCGATCATTTCTGTATGATTTCTCGCGCACTGCCCCTTCCAATGGGTTTCGATAACGAAATGGAGAGACACTTCACAGTGTCATGCAGAGCAAACCACTGGGATAAATTCCCAGTAATAAGTACTAATCTGAACCAAACATGTTCGCTCACAACCCTTTTCAGCACTCAACACTACAAGCATCTAAGCCTCATCATTCACATGTCATATCATAGTACATCCTTACTTGTGTAATAGAGTCTACTCCATTGTCTTTCCTCCAGTTAAGCATCTCCGCCCACATATGCGCTGTCTTATCAAGGTCAAACTTCCTCGCCTTTAAGAATCTGCGGAGAGATTTGTGTTTCATCATAAAGTTTGATTACCATAGAAGAAAACAGAATGACAACAAAGGAATTTTGAAAGAGACGATAAATGTAAAATAAAAATTCTCAAAGTAATCAGGCTTCATAAACAATTAAGACTAGTCCCACAGATAACCTATGGATCTTGTTTGAACTCTGAAATTGGGTGAGTTAATAACCATACTGGAGGACTGATAACTGAAGTAAAGTATATGAAACCTATGGATAACTTCATAAAAAAACATTGGAGAAAATATTATCATGCCTATTTGGAAAGAATAGAAGAGAGGAGAAAATTAATGGGGAGAGAAGTACAACAATGGATGGATTAAAAGAAAAGAAATCCCGGACAACCCCCAAAAAATCTTCATGAAAATAGGTGACTCAAGAGGATATTGAGAGAAAACTACAGAACTTTTGCTTTTCTTTTATGCATTTTGGAAAGAAGTTAATTACCACCGTGTATCACTGTGACAAAAATATGCTACTGGGTTTGCTAAAGTTAGGTAAGGAGATGATAAACCTTGATCATTCCTTAGTTCCTAAAAGTGTATAATTATTTAATTACGCAAATTTGCAACAAAAACGATGCTCATGGTGGTGAACTACCCCACAGAAAGAGACCAATCTGATAGTACCTCGTTGCCCAATAGAATAATAGATGGGTTAGAATGCTTCAGACAAATTCTTGAAGATAGCAATGGACTGCAAACTGTCCAAAATTATTGCCAACCATACAATAAAGGTTTACCAAGTAGGAATTAATGGTCTAATGTAAACTTGATTCATAGTATGCAGTCGAGTAATAAATAGTCCTCAATTCAATTGCAACCCAGCAAAATCATTCAATCCTACTCCCACAGTGAATATTACTCAAGCTTCATTGTCCAAAAACCTAAGCAAATACTCTTTCATAAACTTGAGAAAGAACAAAACAAAATTCCCAGCCAATAGTCCATTCAATGTTTAAACAAGAGCATTAAGTCCAAACAAATGATAACCACTAAAATAAAGGTAAAGCCCTCTGCAGCAGTGGTTCCGCAGGTCAAAGAACTTTTAAAGCATAACGGAGCACTAGACAGAATACCAAGCAAGGTGGCAAAGGTTCTAACATGGAGGAGGTGGTTCCCATCTGTATTTTACAAGGCAAAAGTAGATACATGCGTGGAAACTGAAGAATTGAAGCATGCCACAAACGGATGGTCCATCTTTGATATTATGCACTGGGACAGAGCCAGGAATTGAGCCCAGGGTGGGCAATTCAATTACAAGATTTAATTAAAATTTTTAATTAATAAAATAAAATACTTATATTTTCATTTCAAATGAAAATTAAGAATGCAAACCAAAAAAGCTATAAAAATCCAAATAATCGCAAACATCTTGGATACTACAAAAAGCATTGAACATTCAATTACAAACTAATCGCAATGCATATAATCAAAAAATAATATTTAAGCAAGTAAACTAATTAAAAAAAATATGGGTACAAGGGCTAAGGATTATCGAAAAAATCATGAAAAATGTTGTCAACTCACTAGACCTTACATAGAGGCAATACACGACTCGATGAAAGATCGCACAGTTGTCATTCACGTTTTCTTTCTGTTTCTCTCTAACTCTCTTAATTCGTCCTTCAATTTCGTTAGTGTGAATATTATCATTAAATTTAATATTTTTGTATATAGAATCTTTCAAGGGTAAAATCCTTGCTTTTTATGTACTTGCAAAATGATCATGTATTTTACTACATAACATTCTTAATTTTTATAAAATAATAAAATTATAAGTAATTTATTTTTGAAGAGAAATCACAAAATGAACTTAGATGTGTTCAAAACTTAGCCAAACATGTCCTAATGTGTTCATAGTTATTTATGTATGGGGCCTATATGAAAATCATAGGGTGGGCACAATAAAATGTATATTAAAAATACTTTATATATAAAGACATATATATATTAATATACACATAGTTTTTTGCAGAAAATTGAGGGTCTTAATATACACATGGCCTTAAGGTAGTTCCGTCTGTGAGTATGCAACAAGTAAACCAAATACATTGCCACTGTTTCATGCAACACTCCTATGATATTGCAACCATTCTACTTTTTCCCACCCCAACTTTGTAGATTTTGCTCAGAGGTTTTTGTAGATTCATAGCCAATAGCATAAATGAAACAAAGAATATAGTTTTGCAACCTATCCTTGAGATTTCTATCTAGTGTCCATATAGTAAGTGGCATCTAGCAAAGTATCCAGAGCATCCCAAAAGAATCCAATTTCAGAAACAGGGACAATATAAGGGGCCTCACCATTGATTGCCTTGAATCTCTATGAAATCCCCACTTAGTTTGAGAAGACAGAAATTTGATATCCCACATGTATCTTGTTTAGAGTTTACATCCCTTACGTCTAGTCCAGTTTCAATAGACCTTGGACTTTATGACAACAATTCAATAGGATAGCTCCATTCCTCTATCTGAAAGGGACTCTTGTCCACCATCTCGCCAAATAGACTTCAAAAAGTAGTTCAAAGTATTGTAACACCTCAAAATGGACAAAACCTAACATATTACCTTAGACCCTCCAATCAATTTATATTCCCATTTTGTTATTCTTCATAATAGTCTGGCCATCTTTGGAACATATTTCAAAGTATCGGCCGATACCGATATTACTCCACACTTTCCATCTAATTAGGGTCTAACATCTCTATGAATTAAGAGTCTTACGCGATTTGGTCGAACTGTCCGAGATGTCTCCGAATCAACCTCGAGATGACTAACGTTATCATCAAATCGACTAATCCTATTTCACGATGCCGCTCTATGACCTAAATCTCTTATCATATTATAACTTCTTCTGTTATCTAGCATAAACCTACTTTCTGTTGATCGTAACCTGGAGATTCCAAGTATGCCCAGCTATAAAATGATGAGGTAAGTCCATCATTCATCAACACAATTGTTACCCATCAACTTTTTTTCTCAATACATACAACTGCAATATGGGAATACCTGGCCCCCTTTAATCTCACCATCTGGATAAACAGTTGAGACAATTACTCACAGTTTCACATTGTGCCATATAAGTGGAGAGCAAAAAAACATGGAGATGATTCATAAAATGAAAGCCAACCTTGTTGCATTTTGTTACAAACAAATTAATAATGAAAATCAGCCAATAGTTTCAGCGTGAAAAAGCAAGAGAAACTCTCACAGATCAAAGATCGAATACAGCCGGACTTTCCATGTAGTTTTCTACTAATTCACAAACCACTAACTGATTTTCAGAATTTCATATGTATCTGAATCAACAATATAGGCATAAAGGCCAACATGTGCTCCCTCCCTGTGCAATGCATGTTCACACAGTACCAATGTATCGTTAAATCTGCGTAAACCAAAAACTGTCGGCTACACATTACACGGTTGCTTTAATGACATCACCAAGTTATCTTTCAGTATGTTCACATACAATACAACGATTCACTTACCTCAACATTTTGTGGTAATCATCGTGACGGGCTGGAAGCAGATTTTTATCAATCAATGCCTCACGAAAAGCATTGACAGCTTCCACTTCCTCATCATCTCGAAAATCTTCAATTGAAATCGAAGCAAACAAGCCATGAGCTACCCGCTTATTCCGTTTCCTAAGAGTATGAGTCACTCTTGTTGAAGCATTCATCGCCTTCTTTTTCAAAGATCTGATCCGAGTTCTTCTCTTCTCGTCCTCGTAGGTAACGATATCAGATCTTTTAGCGCTTTCATCTTCTCGTATTGAATATACATCTCCTGAAATCGAACAATCAAAAATCCAAACGCGATACCAGCAGCAAATTTTTAGAAGTATATATTAGCATAAAGTACCTGGCATTGTGTCTCAAACTCAAAGATCCAATTCCGTTATAGAGCTCTGCATTAAACCAGAGCGTAAAACATGTGAAATCTTTAAAGAAATTGTGCAACAAATTCTTAGATCTACGAGATTCTCAGTTCGAATTCAGTGCCATTTATTTAACCAATCAAGTTAAACTAAAATTCACGCAAAGATTGATAAGAAAAAAACGACAAAAATCCAGCACAACCGTGCTACGACCTCCTCACACATTCACGTGACAGAGCACAAGAGATCAAAAACCGAAGATCAAGAACGTGAAAAAGATTACTAATCACACAAAAGAATAATAAATCGAATGTACATACCTTATGAGAAGCCACATTCATCTAGAATGACTATAATCGGACTCACACAGAACGAATGATTATCTTTCCCTCTCTATACGTTATTTTCTATCTCTAGACTCTGTCATATATAACTCCTTTGAAGAGTGGGGGCTTAATTGAGGACCTTTGAGGTTGCTTTCTAGATACTCCCTTTTTCTCTCCAAATATAAAATTCCACGAGTCGGGAAAGCGTAGATGTTGCCTTCTCGTCACGAGAGAACTCTCTCTCTCTCTCTCTCTCTCTCTCTCTCTCTCTCTCTCTCTCTATATATATATATATATATATATACGCAAACAGTATTGCTGGTGGGGTATGTTTCTGGTAGCAAGTGCAATGTCGTTGACACACAGAGGGAGAGAGAGAAAGAGAGACGTGGCGTTGAGGCGAAAGCGCCGTGAAGAAGCTCAACACCGGCGATAGTCAGCTGCTCTATTTGTTTGATGTGCTGTGATGGTACGTTGCCGTCAGTAATGTGACGGAGGTTATTAGGCGTTTATGCGTGGCCAATTGGGTGTGAAGTGTTGTGCAAAGCGTGTATGTGTAATGTCTCCACTTGTTTTGATGCTTCATTAATTTAGGAAACCAGATTTGGGTGGAAGGGGAAAAAAATTAATTGGGTCTTGCCGAAATTTATTATAGAAGTTGGGTAAGTTTTTTTTCTTTTTCAGCTTATAGATTTTTTTCATATTGAGTAAATATTAGGTAGACAAAAGGTCGGTGTTCGAATTAACTTATGCACATCTTGATTAATTTTTTTTTATCTGATTAAAATAGATCATTTACTTCAAGATTAGAATATTCATAAAAGATAAATCGTTCATGACTTATCCTAAAAAAAAATTTAAAAATTTGATTGTAATTTTAAATTTATAATTTATTTATGTTACCACTTGAATAGTCTTTAAAGTTCAAACTATAAGAGGTAGGTCACTGTTTGCTTAATTTCCATTTTTCCATCATAAAAGCTTCCGTTTGGCCAAACTATGACCACTTAGAAAGGCAAATTTTCAACTACAAACGCTTCTTCTAGTTGAATGCATTCCACCAACAAACGGGCCCTAGTTCAAATCAATGCATAGTTTATTTATTCAAAAAAGCAATGCATCATATGAGGGAAAGACCTTTTAGTAATTTAGAGGACTTGGAAGTTTTTTTTGTGTGATTGTCATCCATCATTGAAGCATGTGCAAATATTCAAAGAAAGTAGGAGGAATAAGTGGTGATGTAGGTACAATCATACCCTCAATTTGTTCTAGACCCTTGGCTAGTTGTTGATCTTATGAGGATGTGATGATGTAATTTTTGTTTTTTCAACTATAAAGTCAAATGTGTTTGTTTGTGACTGATTAAAGTTGGTTTTCGCCTAAAGAAAGTTCTAAAGTGCTCCACGTGCTCTTCAAGTGTTCCATTATAGACTATAATGTCATCAAAATTTATCACCACAAATCAATCGAGGTAAGTTGAATCCCTTACTCTTAAATTGAAGATGGCATGATGCTGTTACTCAAACTCGAACCAAAATACTTTAATACTACTTACTAAATATCAGCGTGTTTATCAATTTTTGTTACCGTCATAAAGATTTTTTAAGACTCCACTTATTATTGTGGCAAAATATTTATGACAACAACAACAACCAATTACAAATAGTATTTGTAACAACAAATAAATTTTTTGTGATAGTGAATACAATTGTCACAAAAAATTTATCTCAAAATGTCTTAATTCAATGACATATGGTGTTTAACCCAATATTCGGGGAAAAAAAAAATACTAGTTTGAAATCTTTTGAAAAATGGCTGTGAATTTACCTTCTCTTAAGAACATGATATAATTTTTAGTGGTATACATTAATAGTTAACATAATGGCACGGTTAGGACTGATAGTCGAACGAGTTCAAATAAGTTGGAGTCGAGTTTGAACTGAGTCTGTTGGGCTCGTTTCTCAAATGAGCCTAAAAAATTATTCAAGTTTAACTTATTTATAAAACAAGTCGAATTTAAACGAGTCAAAATGAATTGAGCTTTATATAAATTATAACATATACCCCCTTCTTCCAGTAGTGCATTATTTATTTATTTATTTTGTCAAATACTATTATAAGGGACAATGAAATTTAAACATGTGACTTTAAGATCTAATAACAGAGGAATGACCTTTAAATTATGAACATTGCTTTTGCATTCCATCGCACAAAAGCATGCGCCAAAATAAGTCACAATGGATGTGTGAAAAGGACTTCGGTGGAATGGTTGGTACATTGCTCACCCTATACTTCTGGTTGGTGTTTGTTTGGCAGAATTAGTGGGGATTAAGTAGGGGATTGGGTTACAAATTAAAATAGTCTTGGAGTTCACATATCCCAACTTTGAATGCAAAAAATTATATGAGATAATTGTTGGGTTTATTCTCCTCAGCCCGTAGTAAATGACCTTAAATATTCACTTTTAGCTGGATATTTTAAACCAGCGGACGGTGTGGAATACTTTGTTTACCAACAGGATTAAAGAGTAATTTACTATACCCCCTCAACAATTTTCTTCACCAAGCACTTCAACAACCAGCTACCATTGTATTTTTTCTCTCCCTCAACGGGAGCTACACCCACCATCTTCGATATTATTTTTTTGGCTCTGTCTCTCTTTCCTTTCTTCTCCCTTTCCTCGTTGCTGTGAACTTTCCAACGGATTAATTTTTTTTTTACCCTTTTTCCTATTTTGTCTGCCTCTCCTTGTTTCTCTTCATCTCTCTTTCTCCGTCAATGGGAGCTACACCACCATCTTCGATTTTATTTTTTTGGTTCTCTCTCTCTCAATAGGAGCTACACCACCATCTTTGGTGTTATTTTTTTGGCTCTCCCTTTTCTTCCCTCTCCCTTTCCCCGTTGTTGTGAAATTCCTTTTTTTTTTTTTTTGTTCTGCCTATCTCTTATATTTTTTTTTTGTTTTGTCTTTGTTTACTAAGTTTGTTATAATATTTTGACAAGATCAAATATATTTGTGGTTAATTTTTTAAAAATTTTGTAGAGTCAAACACAAATAACTAGAGGGAGTGTTTCTAAATAGGCAATTTGTACATTATGTATGAACGATTGTATAATAAAGACCTTTTGTCTAACATTGTCTTTTTTTAATGTACAAGCATAATTTTCGAATTACAATTATGCGTTTGTGTTCTACATTTTTGTTGAATGCATAAATGTATATGATTTTTGTGATTAATTGTGTATTTTATAAATTAAATTAAATAAATTATAAACATATTTTCTAAAATATGTTGAAAAAATGTGTAATTTCTTGAATCAAAATTCTTTCTCCCTACATAAGACAATATTATTGGATTGGACTTTTTTTCATTATGTTCAAAACTTGGTATAAGATTAGATTACATTTTTTTACACAAGGGTGTAATGGTCATTTTAGTTTCTTTTATCTTTACATGTGAATGGGGTCTACAAACCAAATAGTTTCTATTTAAAGATGGGATAGGATTTGATACATTACATTAAGAATCCTCTAAACCGGACTATTTTACATTGAGTTGTATTGGATTCGAATTCAAATCCAATCTAACCCAATCTTCTCACGGTGATCCAAACACCCTCCTAGGGGATATGTTTATCTATAGTGAGACTCAATTCAATTTATTGTGGTGACCTACCGTTAAAAGAAATTTAGAAAAAAATACATTTAAAAATTAACTTATTATTGACCCACGACACTAATTATTTTTAAAAAGAAATTAGAAAAAAATAGATTATTTTTCAATGGATTAATTGCACTAAATGTCCCCCAAAATATATAGTTTATTTTATTGTTGTCTCTAATGATTCAATTACATCATTTTGGTCCATAAAGTATTAAATATGCTTCTAGATAGTATTTCAAGTAAACGTTCAGATTGCTAACGATTTTTATCATAAACTTGTCACGGAATAACTAAATATGGACAAAAAATAATTTTGATAACTCTTAAACTAAATTTGAGTAATTTTTGACAAAAAAATGTGTAATATGGATAGTTTTTTTTTTTTTTTTTATCAAAATTTGGATAACTTACGATCAAAATTATGCAATTTAGGTAGGTATTTAACTAAAATTTGAGTAAAAATTTGGTCAAAAGTTATCCAAATTATTTTTTTGTCCGTATTTAAGTATCACGTAACAAGTTTATGATAAAAAATCGTTAACAATGTGGACATTGTCTACTTGAGAGACCATATAGAAATATATTAAATAGTTCATGAACTAAAACGATGCAATTAAAATATTGATGACCAAAATAAAAAAAATTCCATACTTTAGATATCTCTGGTACAATTAATCACCTATATAATAAATTAAATAGGTATTTTACCTTATGAGAGTATATTATTCCCCCCAAATTTCACACACCTAACACACACTCGTCCCAAATTTCAAAAACCCAATACACTTTTCTCTCCCAAATTTTAAAAATTTAACACACACTAAATATATATATATATATATACTTCAACACGCATATTTTAATGGATGCAGAATATTATAATTCAGTGTAAAGGCTTTAGTCACGGAATATCTTAGTTTTTCGATATCACACCAGGCGGGTTTATATCGGGAACACCCAAAAAAATCCATGGAGAGCTTTCCTTTTCCATGGGTATCTGACCATTAAAAAATAGAATATCCCACTGATTCCCTCACTGACCATTCACGCCCAAACACATGGAGTGGAATGGAACTACCTCCTAAGTCCTATCGCAGCAACATAAGTTTCAGTGGTCCAGTCAGACCTCCCAAACTTCTGCAATGGCGGTTCTGACGAATGGGTCTTCGTTACGCCCGCCCCTACAAACGTGCCAATCCTCCAGACCACGACACTTGAACCATTCGAACATTATCATTGTTCGTCGCAGAGCATTCTCACAAGATTCGAAAGTCACAAATTTGCCCCAATTCTTCAAATCCTCATCTTTACTGTAATCTCATCCTCTCTCTATCTATCTCTTATCTTTTTATTGCTTCTATATGTTTGTATGTCTATACATGTGTATATATATTAATGTGCCATGTTGTTTCCTTAATTCAATTAGTTTTCTCAGAGAAAAGATTGCATAGATGGAGTAGAATTGTAATGTTAAGAAAGTCATAGTCAATGCCAAACGTTGTGTGTAATTAAGTCCTGAAGGATAGGGCACAGGCAAGGTGCTACAACCTTGTTGCTAGGCTGACAAGCGAATGAGGTTAGCGTTGGCCACTGCCACTCTGTTGGACTTTAAAGTCGTAAATTTGAACATCATTGTCCCCTCTTTGTAATAGTCTCTGATCTAAAACAACAATTTTCCCTTCTCACCACAATACCTATTAAAATCCTTACCACAAAACCTTATTAAAATCCTTTGTTCATAACATAACATAGTCCTTTCCCACGTACTTTTCATGGGAAATGCTTCACAACAAACAAAGATACCGCCTTCCTATTGTTTTATGAACTCATAAATGCACTGGAATTTAGTTTGAATCTAAAAGCAACACCTTCTGGACCAGTACTACGTAATGCTATGTACAGGCATCTAACTTCTACAGAAATACAAAAACATCACATCATAAACTTTGGTTACGTTGGTAGTTGGTATCCCTCTTCAAACCCTCATATTGGACCAACTGGGGCATGATCTGACACAGTTATGGTTAAAATTGGTATGATCTGCATGTGAAAACTGTTTACCACATTGATATGGTTCAGCTGTCTTGCGTAGTGGGACTCTGCTTGTAACATTTTATGTGCATTGTAATTCGTTTGTTGTCTAATGTGTGGATGTATCTCTTGGGTTTTCCGAAAATAGGATTTACTATCAGCAATAAAAAAACCTCATCTAATTAAATAAGAGCAGTTTTATCAGTGTAATGTTGAGAAAATCTCGGGAATCTTAAATGCTTCTTAATCATCCAGTTGTGATTGCTTCTGTCTTCGTCGCAGTACATGCTTTAAGTAGAATTAATTCAAAGTTATATGTGTCTGTATGAGACCTTGGGCCTATCCATTTTTGAGCAGTAAGCCATTGACTATAGTTTATTGCACATGTGGCATGTATGTTTGTGTGACAGATTCCCTTCGGTATTTGTAGAGTTAAAAGCTTTCAGGGTGAAGATGCAGAAAATTATGAAGCTGCAATATCGAGGAATACTCCAGAGGGACAAAATAAAGTTACTGACAAGGTATTTGAAAATCTGGAAAATAAAACTGCCGGTACAGAAAGTTCATTCTTGGCAAAATTAGCAATAGTGTTGGGCATAGCTGCAACAATTACATTAGTATCTATTGGCCTCAAGCAGCCTAATCAAGGTAGGTTGCTTGGATTTCCATATCTTGCTGATGCTTCATCCTCTTCCACTCTTGCTGCTCCTGCTGTTGGTTTCACTTTTAAAGCTTTTGGATACAGAGTTGTACTTCCAGAGTTTGCCCCAGGGTATGCACCTAGTTCTCTTCTGCGCATTATAGAACCTCAGTTATTTGCTCTTGAGCCTGCCTGATATGACATATTGCTTCCATCCTTTTGGACTTATAGTTTGTTCAACTCTATAAACTATAGTTTCTATTCTTTCCCCTCTTCCAGTCGAGTTTTACTGATCATGTTAGCATTATTACACTAGAATGTAATGTGATATAGTTTACTTGATGCTTGAATAATTGAGTGTCCGCCCCAAATGTTTTATTTCTCTCATGTTCACCCTATGATTTTAATGCAAGCAAAACTGCCTTGCCTTTTTGCATCTTATGTTTCTTCTCGCCAACATGGAATTTTTTTTGAATATTCTCCTGAATTCATTATTGCAGATGGATCTACTTTTGGCTCTTGATGGCCGCAGGTTGTGGACTTTTCATTAGTGAAGAAGCTCTAAATATATGGGTCTGTCCTTTGTACTGGTATTTCTGTTTCACAGACTTTAGAACTCTTACCTCTCTAGAATTGGGTTTTCTGTTTTTTCACCAGCACGTTATCTTTTGAATATAATGTCATTTGCTGGTTAATGGTGTAGGTTGGCATCTCCATAGCAAGGATGCTCTCTTTGGAAGGGACATGGCAGTCCTTTGTTGAGTCATTCTCCAGAAATGCTTCATACATAATATCCACAATTTTGTGGGTATACTGGTTAGCGGCAACTTTATTTTATTTTCATAGTTGTGTAGGAACCAATGCTCCATTACCAATTTTTGTCTAAAATTTACTTTGATAATGGAGCCTTCAAGGGCTTGGGCAATGTGTGTGGGGCTTTGAAGCTATTTTTGGTGCTGCTGCTTACTTTTTTGTGACGTTGGCCATATGCAGTATTATAATTTTCTACATTTTGTATTTGTAAGACTTGATTGGTGGTACAAAACTTCAGGGGTGTTTGTCTTAGTGACATGATTCCATTTTACATGGGGAAGCTCTTTAGACAATCTGGGGCATCTGATGATGTTTGTTCAAAGGTATGTTCTGCCACACATTTTTAACACATGTACACATATAGTTCAACCTACTTGCACTTTGGTGGACTTATTCGTGATGAGAACTGTAGTTGGGGATCAGCAAGGAGAGAGCAATGAATATCACATCTGTAGTTCAACGATATGGGAATCTCGTAGGTTTTGGTAAGTTAAAAAAGCTGTTTACTCCTTTTTGCTTTCTATTTTTGTTCATGTTTCTCTTCTTTGGACTATTTTGTTTGTGTGCATGGTTGTAATGTGTTAGTCAACAAACTTATTCATATATACTACGTAAATTCATACCAAAGAGATATTGTCATAATTTTGCATTCCATGGAAGTTTGATGAATTGTTGCATCAGTATTCATTTGGATGCTGGTACTTACTAGGAAACAAATTACTTGGACGTTATAGAGTCTCCAAGTAAATATTGCCTCCTACGTGTATCTGAGGACATATTACACTAATGAAATCTACCTCTCCTTTCGAGATGATAGTATAGCACCCCTTACGTTGTTTTTTGGTTTTCTCAACATTAGTTTGATGAGAAGATGGTAAATCTTATGCGAACTTGTGTTTTTAAAATGAATTAAATAATAAACTTGGTAGATGGCAATATTGGCCTGAGCTCCTTGCATTGACAATGACAAATACCTCTTTATCTAACTTTCTTTCTTGCTGGAAATTGATAAGATACTATTTACCTGGCTGAAGATCAAAGAGATCTATATAGAACATAAAATTTTGAGGTAATTCTATAAGAATAATGTCTTTTTGAAAAGGTTTAAGCAATAGGCAATTTGTAATCTGCAACAACATGCTTCCCTTCGTTCTGGAATGATTCGCTGTCCTCTTACATAAGGAATTGCAAATTATTCATATTTCTAACTTGATCACTCAATCTTAAATGCCTACATAGGAAAACCTGCTCCGATGCATCTTGATGCTGTCTGTGCAGCTGACTGGTCAGACTACATAGTAAAGGAACATGAGAATAATCAAGAGGTGGATTCAATTAACAATTGTAAGCAGAGATTAAAGAAACCTGTTCCAACCAAGTGGTTGCTTTATGAGGGGATTGGATGACCAAAGAACAAACAAGTTCCAATAAAGATAAAGTCCTAGACTCTCCATTTGTCCTCACATTCAACATTTATTGTTTGTATGAGAGACTCAGAGAACCTAGATGAGTTAATTCCCAAGCAATATATTGCTTAATTTCCAAGACCTTAAATAAAACAAAACTTTCTAGAAAACTTAACAGTTGATTTCCTTCTAAATGAAAAATAACAAACCTAAATTAAGTAATTATAGTAGTGTGGACGGTAATTGCTACTTCACCCAAAAAATGCTACAGTCCTGAATAATAAACACTGCAGCATTGTCAACAGTTCTGATAGAGTGCTTTATCAGTTATAAGTGCCTAGTTTTCCCATCTTATGCAACGCAGCTAGTGCATCAACATGTGCATACAATGCTTGCTTTTCCTTGGATTTCACATCTTGTTTGATGATTTGTGCATTCTGATGTACAGTAGAACGATTTTCCCTTGGAGTGAGAAATCCGACAGCATTCCTAGCAGGAGCACTGGTTAGTAACTATGTCTTTGAGACTATGTTACTTTTCCATCATTTTACTATCACTTGAATCATTCTATAAGTCCCTGTTGCTGCAAGCCTGCAATATAAATTCCTTTTTTATTGTCTTATCACCTTCCGTCTTCACCTTCAGTCTTGTTTAACTCTATTATGATTGGTGGTTGAGTAAGTTGCTTTGTGTTCAATGCACTATTCACTTATTTCCATCTGAGCCAGGTGGTTGTCAGTTCCTAATATACACATACATGCAATTTAATGTTGTATGCTGATAAAGCACTTGTTTGAAGTATTTTGATGGGATCTGATACTTGCATTAACCTTTGCGGAATTGTAAAAACGTACACCATCTGTTTAGTGGGAGTTGTTAAACCTTTCTTTTTTGTAACTAGTCTATTTTCTCTAAACCTTAAGGCAATCTCATTTTGATGACATTTTTAATCTTCTGTTTGCACCACCTACTGCACTGTCTTTTGTACAGTTACTTCAGTTTCAAGCATTCTATAGTGATCTATCATACATATGCATTTGATTATTGAACTTCTTTTCCCCATCTGATTCTTTGACATGTCAGATAATTTTTTTTTTTTGCTATTGTCATGTCAGATAAAATTCAACTATTGTCTAGACTGTTTATTGCATCCACACTTGCTGAATTTTTTTTTTATCTTAATGCAGGACGTATCTCCAGAATGTTTCTTTGCCGGTGTCTGTTGTGGTGGCTTGATCACTCTTCCAGTTCAGGTCATTGGGTTTAATTGTAATATTTTGCTGAAAATATCACCCATAAACACGCAAGCATACAAAAAAAAACTTCTTATCATTACTGTTTAGACGATTGGGTTGTTTCCAGATGAGATATTGAGTTTCAAGCATATCTGTTAATTTAAGTAAGAAGATGCATACTCAAGTGCAGATTGTGGATCTTCTGATGAGTACTCTAATTTTAGTTTGGAGTATATTCTACAAAATGCCTATGGAAGGAAGGCACTAGTACAGTTCTTAATTTTTCAAATATTGGTTCCAACTTGGTGCCTTGTTCTTCTTAGTTTCTGAAGGCTGTAGAAACACTCCTTAAGCGGCTAGTAACTGGCTAGCTAATGCCTTCTTGTTCTCTTCTCTTTTGAAGCTCAGTTGGGGATTGGATTCTTACTGAGAGAGCGTCCTGTGTTCGCCCTTGCAACTGTTGCAACCGTTGTGGTATATAATTGTGCTCATGTTCTGGAAATTGTTTGCCATATGCATTACGCAATCTAATCTTTGGAATTGTACAGGGAATTTGGACTGTGTTCCCCTATGCTGTGGCTGCTTCAACAGCATTATTCCTTTATCTAAGGCGACGCCTCTACTCTAGGTAGTCCTGCTTGTAAGTTTTTGCGGAATTTATTAGTCCCTGGGGATGAAGCAGACAAGAGCTATGGATTTGGTAGATAGGGGCTATGGATTTGTTCGTCTGGAGGGACTTTTTATTAATATAGTTCAGATGATTTTGCAATTACTTGTTGATTAATTATTCTTGCTTTTTCTTTGGTTTTACTGATAGGTAGTGGTGATAGGAACCAACTTAGAATGATTTACAAATTGATGTATAGCTAAGTAGTGTTGCCATTTTATCAAGGAAAATTTCCCCTTGTTCATTGTAGGTTAGATGTCCGTCTCTCTTTGTATTATGATTTTTGAAATACGAAGAGTTGTAAGTTTGTACCAATACATCATTTCACATCTGAAAATGCGACAATTATCAAGTATTCTTCAGTTTGCTTTTCCCCAACTGCTGTTTCACTCTCTTTGTTTAACATGAATCTGGGATTATCCAGATGCTTGGAGAGAACCTAGCCCCATATGCAACATTAGGTGTAGCAGGTAAAATATCATACTCTGGATTATCTTGCTCAATGAAGCTGTAGTGGGTCGGGTCCATTAATCTGATTGGAGGAAAACTCCAAGCTTTTAAGGAATGTGAATGCAAATATAAAATCCTCATGGCTATTTAATTCCTAGAAAGACAGGCTCCTGATGTATATGTGCAGACATTGGATGAGTTGAACAGAGTTACAAGCAATCTTCTTTTATCTCTTAGCACTGGTGGTTTATGACAAGGTGAACCATTTTTCTTGTAGAATCTACAACTCTTCTTACTTGGTTTGGAGGATAAGAATTACCAATCAAGAAGCAACAAGCCCTTTGTCTTTATTTCTTAATTTGATGTTCTGCTCCATTAAGAACAAATGTGTGCCTTTCCTGAAGTTCTCAACTTGCTTGGCACAGTTGCTACTTATATGTATTTGGATTAATTGCAAAGTATAGAGTTTGTCTTATTTTGGTATTTCAATATTTTAATTGCATTATTTTATTCTCTATAATATTGAATATGTTTTTATATGGTCCCTTAAGCAGATAACATTTAAATTACTAACGATTTTTTTATCATAAACTTATCACATGATACCTAAATATGGGCAAAAAATAACTTGGGTAGTACTTTACCAAAATTTGGGTAATCTTGGCCAAAAATGTGTACTATTGGTAGTTTTTTACCAAAATTTAGATTACTCATTATCAAAACTGTGTAATTTGAGTAGCTATTCAATTAAACTTTTGGTAGAAATTTGATCAAAAGTTATCCAATTTTTTTTTCTCATATTTAGGTATTAGGTGACAAGTTTATAATAAAAAATCGTTAATAATTTAGACACTGTTTACCTAAGGGATCACATAAAAATATATTTAATACTTCAAGGACTATAATGATTCAATTAAAATATTAAAGACCAAAATGAGATAGATCTCACATTTTAGGGATCTTCGGTGCAATTAACCCAAATAATTTTTATGGTTTTGTCATAAACAAGAGGGATGTTCTCAACTCAATTCAACAAAGTTTTATCCCACTTTAACTTAACTTTGCCGATGTATTTCTATGCATAGCCGGTCTTAAGCTCCAATAAAGAAACAGAGTTGTGTTAAGTAACTGACAACCAGCGTAATATAAATTAATTAAATATCAACTCAAAAACATTTTACAAGGTAAATTATACCTCACACCTCTATTAAGAGCAGCTTACTTTTTACATATACATAAGGAAAACAACCATATAGAAAATATAAATTGACATATAACTTTCACATTACCGATTGGATATATCAATTTAGAAGTCCACCACAAGCAAGATATGAGAGCTGAATGCTGTAGGATTCTTTCAGCTCTGCCAATACTGCAGCAATGTTAGGCCTTCGCGATGCATCCCTCTCTACAGACCTTGAAGCAATCAAAGCTGCCCTTCTCATGCTCTCGACATCAAAGCTTCCCTTCAAGCTCTCATCCACTATCTCAAATGCTCCTGCCTGCAAGTATGGCTTGGCCTGCATTTGGCAAAGTAAATGACACTACCATATTATTTTGCTTATCAATGTTGCACTATCTAGATGTCTAAAGATATGTTCAAATCAGAATTCTATGCATCTCTTCGGTAATACAATATAAATTACTCGAGAAAAAACTGAACACATGACTGTTAAACTATCTTCATAGAAAATCGTCATAGTCTATATTGTAGAAAAACAAGTCAGACAAGGCTCATTGACTACATCTAGCTGTATAAAAATATACATAAGATGTTTTGCAAGATAGATCAACAAAAGCCTTTTATTTCATAGAATAAGCAAATGTACAGAATTAAAAAAGTGGAAAAGACACCCAGAAGAGGGAAAAATTATAGTAAGTAAAAGAAACTATCACAAACAGATTTCCAATTATGTTGAAGAACCAATAAAAGTAGTATCACGACATTCATTAGAAAGTTGATACCCAAAAGATGCCAAGAACTTCACTCTATCCAGTAACAATTCATTTTCCTCCTCTTTGCCTCCAAAGATTCTATGTTCCTCCCCATCAATACCACCCAAAAAATGATCAAAATAGAACACTCCCGGTGTTTGCTCTCTCTTTAAGATTTTCTACTGAAAAATGACTGGCAACTACAAGTCAAGAAGGTCTATCTAATTGCATTTTTAGGGAAACTTTACAATTGCCCATTTTTTATCAAGAAATCCATAGAATTTATAAATATAGCTAAAGGCACATAAAAACTCTGATTCTAGTGAGTAAAAGTATATGTCAAACTGTAAAGAAGCAGAACAAAGTATGCTATCAATAACATTGAAACCAATGATTATTAGCAGACTTGAAAAGGAATTTGGATTACCCATAGAACCAAATTAAAGGAGTCTGGAGTTCCAGAGCGACTTAATGGTTCTCGACCACAAATGAGCTCCAAAAGAACAACCCCAAAACTGTATACATCACTTTTTTCTGTCAATTGTTGGGTGGAATAATATCTGCACATATTGAATAGTGAAGGTGAGGCTGAGGTTCAGAGTCATCAAGAATCAAGTAAAACACAATGTTAAAAACTTACTCAGGATCAAGATAGCCAGCAGTGCCCTTGACAACAGTAGTCACATGAGTTGCATCAGCTTGGGTTATTTGTTTAGAGAGGCCAAAGTCACAGACCTTAGCATTCATCTCTGTGTCCAAAAGTATGTTGCTGGACTTCACATCCCGGTGGATGACTCGTGGCTCACTCCCATAGTGTAAGTAGTCCAACCCTGTCAAAGATATTGAAAATGAGACAGTAACTCCAAAAAAAAATTAAAAATCAGATATTTCACAGACAAAGAACGATTGAGTGAAATCCCCCCCCAAACCCCCCAAGTTAAATATAAGACTATCAATTGCATGTTGATAAACTTAAAGAAAGTAGAAGGTTTTCCTTTTTTTTTCTTTTTATTCTGTTTCTACTCTTCCCTTGCTCTGCCTGGAGGTTGAAAATAGAATATTCTCTACATACCTTTTGCAGCATCAACAGCAATTTTCAGTCTGCGGACCCAACTTAATGTTATTCTTTTACTATTTGAACCTGAAATGACAGTTTGTAAATACCTATTAGAATCATAAACAATGTCATGGAGGATATACAGGCAGAATAAGAAAGTGAATTTGATATTAGTAACTGGATACAACAGAATACAACAGAACCACAGAAAATAGAAGTCAAGTTTTGTTCACTTACCATAAAGGTTATCAGCCAACGATCCACCAGGCAAGTATTCATAAACTAGTATCTGCTGCTTTGCTTCGTGACAAAAGCCTTCTAGAGATACAAGATTCTGATGACGAACTTGGGACAAAAGAGACACCTAGGTAACAATCCATGACATGGTAAGTAAGGCAGCCCAGGACAATTGTTAATAAAAACCAAACAATCGTGGGAATTTTAAAAAACCTCCCCCGCCATGTGATTTGAACTCAAATTTGGCCTCGTGTTTACAAGCCAGATTACCAAATGCCCAGTGACAAATACATTTATATGATTGCAAACGGCTGCAAAACCAAGTATAACCAATACCAATTATATTGAGATGACTCACGATAGTCTAACAATTTCCTATAACCGATAACTGTAAAGGGAAATCTCTGAGCCTGTTAAAGATAACATCATACTAAGTAATGAATCTGTAAAAGATCTGCAAATTCATCCATAATATTCTGGCAAGAATACTCAGCTTGCACTTACTAATGAGTAAAAGATCAATAAAATAAGATGCTTAAGGAAGGAAGCTGATGAACCTCATTGAAAAAAGAATCAACCCCAAGTTGAGTTTTATCGAACCGCACTTTCACAGCAACTAGTTTTCCATCTGGAAGTTTTCCAAGGTAAACAGATCCAAAACTACCACGGCCTATAACCTCCTTAAAGTTGTTTGTAGCCACTTTGATTTCTTTGTAGGAGAAGACTTTTGCTGCATTCCAGTTCCGCATCTCTGACACTGATCCTAAACATTGATACATGATCCTGTTAAGAATAAAGCAATGAAATTTGATTGTGAACAGCATATCAAGTTTTTCATACTTGCTGTGTATGTCGCTTCAGTTTTCTTTCGCCTCGTGTACAAGAATACTGAAAAAGAAATAACAAAAAGAGCAAGTGCGACTCCTCCAACTGCACCAAGTATAACTGCCAAGTGATTTTGGCCCTTCTTATGCTTGCTTTTGGTAAATACAGTGACTTGTGGTGTCTCGATTGAAGGATTTATTGAAAACTCATTGCATGTCAATGTGGAGAAGGAAAGGCATAAATTCCCCGATGTTCTGCACCGAATTAGTGCATCAAGAGGCTGTTATCTGAAGCAGAAACAACAACAATAAATCTGAAGCATAGACAGCAAGAATATCAATCCCATACCTAACTTCCAAACTTTCTCTGTTTAAAGACTGCGGGAGGGGGCCTTGTAATTTATTGTGTTCCAGATTCCTGAAGAGGACGTCATAAAAAATCATGAATTGTTGATCCAGTTTCACGCTCTCCACTTGGTGAAGTCGCTTAAGTTTTTCCAG